CTCTTCCACATCTTTCTCAACCTGTCTGAAATTCCCACTGAGGCTGAACTATCTTTTTTCCCCACTTCCAAACTGAGATTTCAAATTCAAATAAATTCAAGTTCCTATAAAACCATCATGGGATTGGGTTTTTTTTTTCTTTTTTTCCATTTGATTTGATCGCTTTCATTGGAAAAGAATAAAATTATAGATGTTGATGTAATATATTTACATTTAACAATTATAAACGTGGAAGTCAAAAGAACAAAGTAAAGCAAAGAACAGACTACAGCATATAAAATTACCCTCTTGGATATAAAATGAAATCTACCTAGCACTGTGTTGAAAAGCTTACAACTAAGAGTTAACAGTTTTTCCTTTAGTTTCATAGCTTATCCTTGGTATTGCGCACATTTCTTCATGGCCACAGCTTGCAATGTCATCATGAATGAAAAGTCTGCAGTGAAGTTAACAGGCCTTGACACATTTCTGTTCCGTGGGTTATAACTTAAACATGAGTATAAATAAATGAATATAAAAATATTTCTCTCGTAGAGCATTACCTCTATTTAAACTTTTTTCAGCTCAGACAGTTCCTTCCAGTATTATTTACATTTGAGAGTTATTTTGAACAAGCAGTCAGAATACAAAACACAGAAACGGTCTCCAGCAAAACTGGAGACTACACATTCAATGTTTTCAAAAGGCTCTTGTATGATGCTTACGAAGTTTTGCATATGGAAGACTTTATCAATATTAAATCCGCAACTGAAGCAAAAGAGGGAAGCTTTAGATCATGCTCCCACCTAGAACTTATATATGCTCCCCAGCAAGCAAAACTTCACACACTGTGCACTGTGCCACCATCCTTTGTTCATCAGTACAGGGATTTTTCAGAGAGACAAGACAGTACGCATTCACCACGTGATTTAGCGCATAGCTAAATTGAAATTCATCAGATATTGACATTCTCCAAAAAAAGAAAGAGAAAAAGAAACAAACAACCTATAACACAATGAATCAGATCATTGTACACTGTATATCAGCGTATTTCTAGTTGGTAGGTATCAGCAAAGTTTTCTATAGGATTCTTTCCATTTATTACAATCTTCTTATTATGCTTCCCTTTTTTACATTTGTATAGAGGAGAGAAATATTCTGACAATGGGGGCAAAATTTTTAAGGGACATATTCTTTAACAATAATTTCAATAATTAGATCAATCCCTCTCAGGTTCTCAGAATTTCCATCCTGTAGTAGGGTACCTATTCCAATTTTGTGGCAGATATGGTGCCTTCTTTATATCCAGTGCCTGAATCCCTGCTCAGATGAAAAATTTGGCATGAACTTAGAATGTTAAAAAATGGCATTTTTGTAATGCAGTATTATACACTTTATTCTTGCCTATTATAATCAGATTATAGCTAGATTATGAAACAGTTTATAATTGTGAACAGGCATCTGGTACAGGTAACAAATACGATACGATAAATCTGCAAGATTTTCATTTTTTCGTTACCAAAGAAGTGGTTGCAAGCATCATTTGATACCATATAGTTTGCAGGACATCTTCACAGGCAGACAAGTTTTCAAACACTAAGTTTTCCCCACTTCTCCCTCCAGCATCCAAAGCCATCATCAGGCTTCCCTGCCAAACTCCTGTCACCCACTTGCAACCACATTAAGAATGGTCTACACCAAAGTATTATTAGTATAGGTTAGTTTTAGTTACATAAATGTGAATTTGGCAGTATTGCTACAAACATGCACAAATTATACAAATCAATTACTACTTGGAAAACAATCTGGCATGTATTTATAGCCAATCAATGATACAGCAGAATATTTAATGACACCCAAGCCTCTGCAGTGCACACAAGTTGTGCCAATGAAGTATATAAACTCAGGAGTCTTGGACATCTACCTAGAGCTCGTTAGCTGATGCGTCTGTTCTCAGCTGAGTTTACAGTGTATGTATTATGCAACCATAACTATCAACTGCAACAGATCTCGCCTTCAACACAGGTTGAGGATGAGATGAAGCATGGGACAAATCATTAAAAAAGACATTCATTTACAGAACTTTGGAGCTATTAAAAGAAGTAAGATGATGGAATAAAAGCTGCACTCTGCATCGTAGCTGCAACAACTCTCACTCATGAGTCCTTCAAGTGCTAACATGACAAAGTTTTATGGTAAGACTACCTCACTGGAAGGGACTTGTGACAGAATGAGAACTGAATTATGCACATCATTAGCTGAGCCAGCTGCTTCATTTCAAATACTGTTTTATTTTGCTAGCTTTCAAGACTACTGTCTTTTCATTTTTCCACATTTTCCTGGGAATGTTTTTAGGTTTTTCAAATTCAACATTTTTCACCTCTATTTTTCTCAAATTAAAAATATTCTTACATGACCACCCACTTGACCTTTATCAAATGTACTGCGTATCATCTGCGTGACTGTAACTTGTTTAAGTGCGTGCACTTTGCTCAGAGCAAATAAAAGATCGTGCAACTTACCCAGAATCTCTTTCATCCCAACTACAGAGAGTTCCTACCTCGTGACAGGAGAAGAGCCGAACTCCTTCCATCTGATGAAAGACTGGGTAGTGAGTGTTGTCAATTGTATCACGGCGATAAACATCTCCCACAGCCAGAAAGGCGTCTAAGCCAGAGTGTATCAAGTCCCACTGATGAGCTGATGTGTGTGCTCTGAGCATGTGATCACGATTCAAATAATAGTTATCCTCTTTCTTTCTGCTGGCATGGTCTCGTGGGATCAGCAAGCTATCAAAATTCTGCTGTACTGTAACCACTGGAGAAAGACCATCATAGACAGAAAACAGCGGAGTTCCAAAGCGTCCCATATATTGCTTATAAAAGTGGTCCTTCACCTGCTCTTTGATCAGCCACAAAGGATGATGCTTTTTGTTGTGCAAGTTCTTCCCCACCTTGGAGAGAATCTTCTCTGTAACATTACTGTAGTCATCTCGAGGATAAGCTTTACCAAGCAGTTCCACAGTATTTGAGGACAGTGCGTTGGCAGCAAAATCAGAAGGTACGGACCTGGACGAAGAATGCCTTGAATGGGTGGGAGTTCCTCTTACCTTTATTTCCTGTGATAAGGCTGTTTTAGAATATTTAGCTATTCTCATGAATTTCCACAGCATTGCCATTGCAAACTCTCTCGGGATCTAGAGAAAGCAAGAGAAAAAGAAACTGAAAGTTACCATCTGCAATCTTGCTGGAGGAATTGCAAGCATCTCATGAATAAGTGAAATCCAAATATCTGTTTCATGAACAAGAAAGAGTCCCAGTTCTAAACCACATATTTTGACTGGGGGTGGGGGGAAGGGAAAGCTTGCAATAAAATTTCAGCTAAGTTATCTTGGTCAGTTACCAGTCTTCTGCAACAAAGCATTAGTATTAATGATGCTAGACCTAGTCTTAATCCCATTTCAGATACTGCAACTCTTTACAGCTTGGAAACATTTTCAAAGTAGTCTTTTCATTCAGTTAAAATATGAGGCAATAACAGAGTAGTATGCACAAGCAACTTGGAGATCTAACAACGCCCTTCCTCAGTCAGGGACTTGCTTATAATACAGTCCGAGGCATTAACAGATTGTTGTGCTTTTTTTTCTTCACCATTAGAAAAGCCTATGGAAGGAACTGCAGTAACCTCACAGCTTACTGCACAAACAGAATGCCTATGGCACACACTGTGCATCCATTGCTATCTCCCATTTAATGTAAAACAAAATCAGTCTAACCTTTCAAACAATTATGCTGCTACGTAAAAATAGATGGCCAAGCCACAAGGTACATATTTATATATAAACCAACATATCAAGTTCACATACGAGCTCTGCATGAGATTCTCCATCAAGATTCCACAAAGTAAAAACTAATGTTAACATCTCGGGTGAGCATGAAAGCCTTCTTCCACACCTTCCCAGAAGAGCTCTTATTTTCACTGCTTATCCCATTACGCAGTGGGAAGGTGAATTTTCAGGAAGATGAACGAAGGGGTAAGATTCTGCAGAATGTCTGAACTGAACAATTCATTTTCTGTAAAAAAGCCATCTTTACACATCAATCCCATTTAGAAACAGGTTCTTTTTGTGTTTCAAGCATCACAGCTGCATTACTTTGTAGTTTTGAAGAGGTAATTCTGAAAACAAGGAGGAGTTTTGAAGGTTATGAGGCCTTCAGTGACTCTAATTTTGTGAGCCCATTCTGAGAAGTAAAGCCACTTGAAAACTTACAGGAGGGCTTCAAAATGTTAACACAGGTTCCAGTAAAATAATTAAGCATCGCAGATTACTTAGGATGGAATGGGAAAACGGATGCAGTAAAAGTTAAGTGACTTGGGTATAGGGATCTGCTCCCAATGAATTGGTCTATATCTCTCTAAGAAATCCAGAAAAGAAAACCTCAAAAAATCCAGGGCCCCAAATTTCCTGAGTGAAAGAATTTCATGTGAACATATTCTTAAAGAAATGAGGAATGAAAGGAGATAAGCAATGAATAAACTACTATCTTCAAGAGATAACCTTCTACCTTTACCATTGGAAAACAGTATTTGGCTAGCTTTTCAAGCAAACATAACAGAAATGTGTTAAACATGAAGGAACAACAGGCTAAGATTATTTTTCATACTCTTGGGCTCCAAAAGTACATATGAGTGAGCCTAGGTGAACATAGCTCCCAAAAATCAGATCTGTAAAAGATAATAGGCGTGTTCATATTTGGTTTCCTTTCCTCTGCCTTACTCTTGAATATTCCCTAGGGATTTATTTTCTGAAGTAATTGTATCTCAGTAACTCAAAATAAAGACAAGTTAGGTAGTAGGAAATTGAATTTGGCAGAGTAAGATTACTAAATATTTGGTCTAAAAGAAAAAAGCTTTACAGAAAAAGAACGCCCGCCCCTTTTTCTGGCCCAAGATCGCAAGAAAAAGAACAGCTATAACTTTCATCTATTTTTGAAACTTTCAAGCTCAAGTTTTTTTTAGTTTGCAAAATTATTTCACAAAATTAGCTCTTGGCTATTTCAGTTAAGGTTTTTCCAAAAATGAATGCACATATAGACATAACACAAAAGCCTCTGCCATAGACTAAACCGGAGACAGTCTTACATTTTGAAAAGAGAGGATCCGCTTTCACCAAACATACGTTCTCCTTCATAAGAAGTGAGTTCTCATTTTCAAACAGCTGCTTGAAATAACCAGTTCTAGTCAGATAATGAATTCAACTTCCCTTAAGTGAATACCACCATCTGCCCATACATTTATTTTTCTAAAAAATTCAATTGAAAACTTATACATAACCATAGTGCAAGAAAAATTCTCATGATTTCATCACAAGTCTCGTGATGCTCGCTGGTTTTCTAAACTCTATTCCTTTGAGAATCAGATGACATATTATATGAGAAGTTTGGCTTTCACATAAACAGTTCTTCTCGTCATTACAGTTCTATGGAAAAAAAAATAAAAACATGAACCACAAGTGTTGAAAAAAATAAGAGAGGCTTAAAAAAAAAGTCTCATGATTTTTAAGGCAGCTTCTTTTTAACATATATATCCTTAAGGGCTTCCCTGATGAATTTTCAACACCTGTAATGAGAAACACTGCTATTGGGTCTCTGAGAGTACTGGAATGCTATTTTTTCAGACCATGTGATATATACTCTTCACAAACTTGAATGGAAAAAAATTGATGAAATTATACAAGCGTTCTCATCCTAACATGATGCTTTTTCTTTAAAGAGTTAAACTACCTTACTGCCTGCACAAATACCCAGTGCCTATTACTCTGATCTGATGACTGAGTACTGTAAATAACAGCAAACAAGCAATAACGGAACCACTGATATGATATCACATGAAGCTGCTAGAAGCATTGAAGTCCTTCACCAGCACTCTATTCTGCTCCTCTTTCCCACCACAGGAGCATGCATGCTAGTTCCAGGATCGATACAGTATTGGACTATTGGACTTGGTTCAACTCAACTGGTGATAAAGCTCATAGAGCCAAAAGAAAAAACAAAGACAGAGAAGGAAGGAAAAAACGTGTTTAGGCTCTCTGCACCATAGACTCAAAAACTCAAATCACAGAAATATTCACCAGCGTAGAAAGTAACACTGGAAAACAAATACAATTCTTTACCTTTCTGCTAAAAACATAGAGTTGGTGCTAAAGTTAAATGAGTTAATTATGCTCACTTGTAATCAATAGACAATTATTTCTAGTAGACTTCTAGCTAAAGGTTCGAAAAAGCACAGATTAATGTCTCATTTTCTTTTTTCATTTCCGTTATGCTTATCATTTGGCAGTAACACAGAACTAATTTCTGTGCACACCGACAAAACCTGATTTCCACAGCAAAGACTGTTAGTCAGCTAATAACCATAGCAAGATAAACAAAAGCAATCCCGTTGCTGAAAACAAATAAATAAATGGGAAATAAACATTGAACAACCATCACTGCCATCTATGATCCACAGATTGCAAAGTACTCCACGAGCATTACCCAGAGGTTACAATTTCTGGGCTCGACAGTGGTTGTGACGCACAGTTGAGAGCTGACACGGCTTTGGGGAAGCAGGCTGCCCTACTGGTGGCTCCCAGTGGCACTTCTTGAAGTGCTGCAGGAGGACACACACTAACCAAGCCCATGATCTCCTTTACATAGCTCCTCACCTTGCCTCTACTACCTTCATGTTCCCGGGTGCCTGCTCTGCTCTTCTGTCTAGAGGTCATGGCTACGGGCCTGCCTCTGTATCTCATCCTTCATACTAAGATGCCAAAGACAGCTAATGGAACTAGTTTCTTTGATAATGAAACTAGTTTCTTTCGACATTGTATGTTATGTTTTGTCAAAGCATTTGAATGCATGCCTGCACATGGCTGTGAGCTTTTGACGAGCTTCAAAGAAGAGCAAAGGACTCGAGGTAGAACCTGTGCTAGCCAGGAATGAGGGTATCGGAGCAGCCGTGCGAGCATTGTGGATAGACCAGGCACCAACATGACTGCGCTTGGCCAAAGCAAGTCCTCTACCACATACCCTGTACCATTTTGGCAGCAGTATCAGTTGACTGACAAGTTGGCAAGGCTCCTTCATCCCTCACAGGAAAACAATCATCCCTGTGCAGGAACAAAGTAGACTTTGCACAGCAGAAGTACACCACAGTCAGGAACCTAACAACAAGGAAACAGTGGAACAGCATACCACAACTGCAGTTTTGGAGTGAATCCAAAAACAGTTTGATGGGATAAGGGATCGTATTGCTGTACTGTCAAGGCATGTCTTTTCATGTCTAAACAAAGGTTTCCACGTCATAGTAAAGCAAGGATTAAGATAGCATTATCGCAGATGCAATGGTATTTGTCACAAGTCCTCTTTACTCCTCTGAGACAGTTTTAGAAGAGAATTAGAGTCAGTGAAGTTGCTCCTTATGCCCCCCTTTGAAAAAGGGGCTGGGGGGGAAAGATTCGCAATACAAAGAAATAGGCCTGTGCACCAGTATTGTTTTATTCACCCATCTCTCCTCATAGAAAAGAGGAAGATAGAGAACACTCCTGTTTGAGCAAACTAGACCTAACCAATGAACCAAAAGGGCTTGGTTTCAGGGCCATTTGCTAGGTATTTATATCTGTGAACAAAGAGCATCCTAAGCTCTCATTGACTGCTTTCTCTGTATACCCTGTGTTTTTTACTGCTGATGGATGCAGAAATGCAGATGGGCTGCTGCATACATAAACTGAAGTACAAGAAAGGTTTAAAACCAAAATTCTGTAAAGATAAGAGTCTGTCTCCTATCTAAAAATAGCTAATTAATGCAAGATTCTGAAGTGCCATGGAAAACGTTAGAAAAGTTGGGCTGCCACCATTTTGTGATGTGACAGCTTTTATCTACCGTATGTGTGGGGAGGGGAGTTCAACCAACATAGCATATGTTAAAACAAAAATTATAAACATATGCTAGCCTGCTAAAATTGAACATTTACCAGTCTGCTTAGCAATTTAGCTAAGCATTGAATTTTAGTTTTGAAAACCATATAGGTATACAGCAGCAAATATCATTGTATTACCATGACCACATCTACATTACATGGGATATCACTGAATTTATTTCATATGCAATAACAACAACAAGCTCAAATGTTTTTCAAATTCATTTTAAAATGCA